CTGAACCGGACCGGCGGCTGATTCCAGGAAGCCCGGGGCAGGGGCTTTCTGTAGTCAGCCCCTGGTCAGTTTCGGCAGCGGCTGAATCAGGACGCCTGGGGCAGAGCAGCTGGGGGGCTGACGGGTTGGTCCCACAGCGCCGAGGAGCAGCGCTACTGGACCAACCCGGCAGCACCCCAGCTTCTCTACCCCAGGTGTCCCCAAGTAAGCTGCTGCTGAAACTGACCAGCAGCTGACTCCAGGAAGACCGAGGCAGCAGAGCCGGACTATCGCCCCAATCCAGCCGCTGCTAAAACTGACCAGCAGCAGCTGAATCGGGGACACCTGAGGCAGAGCCGGACTATCGGAAGGGGGGGGGCTATGAAGGGTCTGGGGTGGCATCTCCCTCCACCCCAGACTGCTCATAGCCCCCCCTTCCGATAGTCCGGCAAATCTGATAATCCAGCACCCCCTGGGTCCTAAAGGTGCCGGATTATCGGAAGTTTACTGTAATTTAAGTAAAAGTTCTTTTTACCAATTGCAGTCGGTTTCTGCAGAATCTGCCAAGATAATGCATTTAGTATAATATGCATCCATTTCAGCTTCCTAACTTTAAATTTGTAACTGAATTTAGAAATTGGCTAGAAGTTTTTCCTCTGAAAAGGAAGAAGGAGGATAAAAATATTCTCAATTCCCTATTTAGGAAAGAATTTAGTACATACATAATTTCTCTCAAATCAACTAATGCCTTTAAGACAGTAATGGACAACAATATTTGATGGTGGGGGCACACAAGATTTTGGTAAGTGGTCAAGGACCACACATTTTTATGAAGCAGCTATGGGATCTGTGACGAAGGCTGGGTACAGAAGGGAGTTTGAGGTAGGAGGGACTGGAGTGCAGAAGAGGATGCGGGATCTGGGAAGGAGTTTGGGTGAAGGAGGGGGATGTGATCTGGGGCAGGAGATTGGGAGGAGGGTCCAGGAGGGAGTATGGATGCAGAAGGATTCTGACCTGGTGGAGAAATGTAGGAGAGGATGGAAAGTCTGAGAGGGGAGTCCTGGGGCAGGGGGGAGGAGGTACAGAGTGTTTCATTGTGATCTGGGACAGGGTATTGGGGTGCAGGGCCCAGTAGGGGAAATGGATGCAGAAGGATTCTGGCATGAGGGAAGATTTAAGAGGGATGTAGAGTCTGAGAGGGAGTTAGAAGGGAGAGACAGGCTGGGGTGCCAGACATAGGCTCCTGCTAGGAGGTGCTTACCTAAGCAGCTCCTGGCCAGCAGCACTGTCAGGCAGGCTTTCCCTCCCCCACTTCCCCAGCAGTGAAGTGGGTGGCTGACTGTACATGTGGTTCTCTCCACTGGCAGAAGAGAGAAGGGAAGGAGAGGCTTCATGCACTGCTCCTGCCCCCAGCAAAATCTTTCAGCTCCTACTGGTCAGAAATTATGTTGCATGTCCTCTGCCCTTAGGGGGCAGTGACAATGTGTGAAGCCTCTCCCCTCTGCTTTGATCAGCACTGCTCCCTGCTGCAGGGGCGAGCACAGGTAGGACCAAAGGGCTTTGCAGGCCAGATTCCACCCGCAGGCCATTTCTTGCCCACCCCTGCTTTAAGATACTTATGTCCTGTCATCAGTATGAGAAAGGGCAACTTGCTTTGCTTAGAATATATCTATGCTAGATGATTTACAAGAACTGGTTTGTTGCTTAACCTTTGGATGAGGTCTTTACTTCTTATCTAGATAAAATCAGGAGAGCCTACAATTTTTAAATAGTGTCAATAGTAGCGTAAAATCTCAAATGCACCAGGTCAGGCAGACTGATTAAAGCAGTAGAGGATGCTTACGTATGTAACAGTAAACTGACTAGGGATGTGAAGGACTAGTGGAATATCCAAGACAAGTCGACAAGCTTGTCAACTAGTTACTCCCCCCTCTTCGCTGCCTCTCTCAGAAAGAGGAAGTGGGGGGAGCGGGGGAAGAGGGAAGAACGGGATACTTCAAAGTGGCAGCGCAGCATGGAGCCTGGAGCCAGACCCTGGGCTCCATGCAGTGCTGCTGCTTTGAAACGCTGCTGTAGGAGCTCTGTGTCAGGTTCTCATGGCAGCGTTTCAAAGTAGCAGAGCCGCAGGGAGCCTGGGATCAGCAGGGAGTCCCCAGCTGACCCCGGGCTCCATGTGGTGCTTTCACCTTTCAGGCGTAGCAACAGGGCTGTTTCTACACTTCAAAGGCAGAGATGCCCTGACGACAAGTTGATGCAAAATGCACAATTTAACATCCCCGAGACTGACTATCTCTACATGGCTAATGAAACTATATTCAAGAAGAAGGTATGTGCGAGGGATGTGCAGAAATCTTTTTTTGCAGCTAAAAGTCCTCATGAAAAAAATTTATAGGAAGACCGCTCTCACATTTTTAATATTAATAAACGCTGATTAAATAGAAGTGCTAAAAATGTCTGTGCTAGATATATTAAGATGCTTCAAATTTAGTTTGATAAATAGTTTAGAAAATACTTGGAAGTTGAAAGTTTCTAATGGCTTCAGCTATTCTTCATTACAAAAAAATACGGAGTCAGGGTTAAATTAGTATTATCTCCAACCTAGGTAATGAAATGTGTACAATTATATTCAGACTGAAATATGACTTACTCAATGAACTTCAAGAGCTGTTTAGTGATCTTCTTAGCTGATTGAGCAATAGCACTCCCAGGTTCGTTGAAAGTGCTGGCATTACTTTCAATACATCTCACTTCCCACACCAATGCAGAGATCCTCCTTTAAGATTATAAAACAAATTTAAATTCTTTAATACTAAAAAATGGAGAAAAGAAAAATAACTTATTAAATATTTGTCCCTATTATGGTCAACTGGCAATCCTTTAATATAGAACCCCCAGCTCGATCTAATTTCAAACAATTCACATAGAAACAGCATAAAATATTCAGGGTTAACTAGGGAAGTGGCAGTTGCAAGTGTTTTTTGTGGGGGGGGAGGGGGAAGGGAGACCTCTATACGGATGCAAAAATTATATTCGTAAAATATTTGTAAGTAGTCAAACTCATTTGCACCTCTATTGAATACTAAGTTTTAGAGAGATAGTCACGCTAGTCTGTTCCAGCAAAAATAATGCGGTGTCCCTGTGGCACCTTGAAGACTAACAAATATATTACAGCATAAGCTTTCATGAGCTGCAACGCACTTGACCACAGAAAGAACTATAGCCCACAAAAATGTATGCTCTAATAAATTTGTTAGTCTTAGATGTGCCACAGAATATTAAAGTATAGCTACAAGAATGCTGCAGCCAAGATAACTAAAAACACAATATGCATGTTTAGCCACTTATTTTACAAAATGCTGAAGCTAATAAAAAAAATTCCAAAAGGTTTCGGCTTTGATTTCCCAAAGATAAACAAACATCAAGTAGACAACCCATATGAATACTTTCAGGGAGAAACTGGATTATGAACAGATTCTATGGTTATGTTATCAGAGAAATAAATCTGGAATAAAGTGGACCTAATTTCATCTTCCCCCTTGCATGTCCAAAACACTTTCAAAAGAAAAATCTGATTTTAAACCCACTCAAAGACAACTACTTTGTATCAAAATGCATGCCTCCATATAACAACTACCTGGTATCAGTGCAGTATGAACAGTAAGAAGTTTGAGACAAACATGGAAGGACACTTGATGCTCTAGATGCAAAAACAATTTAAGCACAGAATATCAGATTAATGTGGAATTGATTACTGACAGTGGACAAGCAAACCCTTACCGGACACAAAAGGCAAGAAAAAAATGACTAATCACTTTCGCAATTGTTGTTCAAGATGTGTTGCTCATATCTATTCCAATTAGGTATGCACGCTCCTCATGCACAGCTGTCAAAGTTTTACCCTAGCTGCTACCCGTCAGGTCGGCTACGCAGCCCCCTTGAGTAGGGATATGAACATGTACCTGCGGACACGGATAATCGATGAGCCTGTGATCATCAGTTAACCCTCATGGTTACATGCAGCAACCCCAACCGCCAGACACCTGCCCTATCAGAGGCAGCAGTACAGGAGGCAAGAATTGACTCCCTGCAAGCATCAGATCCTGCCTCTTTCCCCATTTCACATGTAAATGTGTAATCCCGACCATTTTGCAGATAAACTCATTTTAACATTCCTACCCTGGGATGGTGCCAGTGTGATGCCCTATATATGGCCCTGCCATCTCAACCTTCCCTCAGTTTCTTTTAGCCACCTTCTCTGACAGTGGAGAAGGGTGTGTATGGAACAGATATGAGCAACACAACTTGAAGAACAACAGTAACAAAGGTGAGCAATTGTTTTTTCTTCAAGTGCTTGCTCATATCAATCCCAATTAGGTGATTCATAAGCCTTATCCTGGAGGAGGGGTCAAAGTGTAGCTGACTTGAAAAACTGCAGTACCAAAAGCTGTGTCCAGTCTTCACTGCTGCACGATGGCATAGTGTGACATGAAAGTATGCACCAGAGACCATGTGGCAGTCCTACATATTTCTGGAAGAGATACAAGATCCTCCAATGCTGCTGGAGATGTCTGTTCTTGTGGAATACACCATGAGAGATGTTGGCAAGAACGTGGCCAGATCACAACACGCATAGATACATGCTGTGATCCAAGAGATGCACCGTGATGAGACTGACTGTGCCCTTTACTCAATCCACCACAAACAGTTGAAAGAATTTGCAAAAGGGCTTTGTCCAGTTGATAAAGAAAGCGAGTGCATGCCTCACCCTCACATCAAGGGAGTGCAATCTCTGTTCCTGTAATTTCTGGTATGGCTTAGGGAAGAACACGGGAAGAAAGATGTCCTGCTCTATTTGTAAGCTGGAAACCACTTTCAGGAGGAAAGCAGCATGAGGGAGAAGATGGACCTGTCTCTGTGGAAAACAGTGTCCAGGGGTTCCGACATCAGGGTGTGAAGCGCCGACACCCATGGAGCGGAGGCGATGGCAACCAGAAAAGCCACCTTCCACAATAGGTAGAGCAGGGAGCAAATAGCCAAGGGCTCAAAGGGAGGAATCCATGAGCAAGGAGAGGACATGGTTGAAGTCCCAAGCAGAGGAAGCACTTGACTAAGAGGCTCAAAAAGACAGTATGGACAGCTTCAAGCAGGTGGAAAGAGGAAATAGCAACTAGGTGCACTTTGAGCACTGAAGTCACTAGCCCTTGCTGCTCTAGGGACATGAGATACTCCAGCATCCCTGAAATAGAGATAGATAAAGGGTCCAAGTTGAGCAGCAGACACTAGCATGAGAAATTCTGATTTGATCAAGTACATAAACCTGGGAGAAGGCGTCCTGCTACTAAAAAGCACATGCAGGACCCACTCTGAGCAGGTTTGCTTGGCCTGGTTCAGCCATGAAGTTGCCACACCATGAATTGGAGGGGGTGAAGATCTAGGTGGCAAAGATGCCAGAGGTCCGGTGTTATGAGGCATCTGTTTCTTGGGCACACCTTCAAAAGGCCTGCTTGGACCCGGGAGGGCAGAGAGGGAAGGTGCAAGGGAGGGGTTGGTCTGTCCCTGACGGTTTCCAGCCCAGGTCTCAGATGACTTTTGGTGAGGATACAGAGAACACCTGCATGAGAAATCAGACCTGGGAAGAAATGAGAAAAGCTGCTGTGTGGGCTGTGTTTTGAAGGACCAAGAGTTACAATTGTATAGATTCAGGATAAGCTGCTGGTTTGCTATCCGGAGCAACAGTCCCCCCCCCCCCATAGAGCAGACCTTCCAGCTGAGTAAGTTGAGGCACTTAGCATCCTTAACTTAGGCTGAGGATTTTAGGGATATTTCCAAACCGGAGACATTCTTTTTAAGTGACAAATCTGAGGAATTGTCCCAGATTGAGGTGTTATTAGAGGAGGTTTTAGAACAAACTGATAAACTTAACAGTAACAAGTCACCGGAACCAGGTGGCATTCACCCTAAAGTTCTGAAAGAACTCAAATATGAAATTGCGGAACTATTAACTGTGGTTTGCAACCTATTTTTGACTGGCTAATGTGACACCAACATTTAAAAAGGGCTCTAGAGTTGATCCTGGCAATTACAGACCAGTAAGTCTAACATCAATACCGGGCAAATTAGTTAAACTATAGTAATTTTATTCTTTATCAGACACATAGATGAACATAATTTGTTGGGGGAAAAGTCAACACAGTTTCTGTTAAGGGAAATTATCCCTTACTAAGATACTAGAGTTCTTTGAGGGAGTCAAAACAAACATGTGGACAAGGGGGATCCAGTAGATATAGGGTACTTAGATTTCCAGGAAAGCCTTTGACAAGGTCCCTGACCAAAGGATAAGAGGGAAGGACCCCTCATAGATTGATAACTGGTTAAAAGATAGGGAACGAAGGGTAGGAATAAACAGTAACTTTTCAGAATGAAAAGTGGTAACTAGTGGTGTCCCCCAAGGGTCTGTACTGGGACAAATCCTATTCAACCTATTTATAAATGATCTGGAGAAAGGGGTAAACAGTGAGGTGGCAAAATTTGCAGATACTAAACTGCTCAAGATAGTTAAGACCAAAGCAGACTGTGAAGAGCTTAAAAAAGATCTCACAAAACTAAGCGACCGGACAACAAAATAGCAGATGAAATATAATGTTGGTAAATGTAAAGTAATGCACATTAGAAAAAATAATCCCAACTATACATACAACATGATAGGGACTAATTTAGCTGTAAGTATTCAAGAGAGAACTTGGAGGAATTGTGGATAGTTCTCTGAAAACATCCACTTAGTGTATAGCAGCAGTCAAAAAAGCAAACAATGTTAGGAATCATTAAAAAAGGAGTAGAGAAAAAGACAGACCATGTTATTGCCACTATATAAAATTATGGTACACCCACATCTTGAATACTGCATATAGATGTGGTCGCCTCATCTCAAAAGATATATTGACATTGGAAAAGGTTCAGAAAAGAGCAACAAAATGATTGGGGTTTGGAATGGGTTTCATATGAAGAGATTAAATAGACTTAAGACTTTTCATCTTAGAAAAGAGGAGACTAAGGTGGGATATGATAGAGGTCTATAAAATCACGACTGGTGTGGAAAAAGAGAATAAGGAAGTTATTTACTTATTTCCACAATATAAGAACTTGGGGTCACCAAATGAAATTGATATTTAGCAGATGTAAACAAAAAAAGGAAGTTTTTTTTCACACAGTGTGAAACTCGTTGCCAGAGGAGGCTGTGAAGATCAGGACTTTAACAGGATTGAAGAATGAACTAGATAGATTCATGGAGGTTAGGTCCATCAATGGCCATTAACCAGGTGTCCCTAGCCTCTGTCAGAGGCTGGGAATGGATCATGGGAGAGGGATTGCTTAAAGATTCCCTGTTCTGTTCTCTCCCTCTGGGGCATCTGGTATTGGCCACTGTCAGCAGACAGGATACTGAGCTGGATGGACCTTTGGTCTGACCCAGTATGGCTGTTCTTATGTATGTTCTTAGACATAGGGGGTGGAGCCAGATGACCTTAACACTTTTTCATTCACCGTCTCCATGACCACGGAGCATGGTGGAAGGCAGGTGAACAGGTATTGGAATTCCTTAATAGGAAGGAAGTACTTTCTCTGAACCCCATTGGCCATCAGGGAAACAGAGGAGAGAGTCTTCTGGACAGTCTTAGCCGAGGACATGATGGACTTAATCAGAAGGGCCACTCTGGAACAGCTCTCAGGAGCCAGAACATCCTCGATTTGGTCATCCTGCTCAACCACTTCCTCCAT